CCCCAAAACCCCAAAACCCCAAAACCCCAAAACCCCTTGTGATTATTATAAATTTGAAAATATTTAAATGGGCAATTGTCTCACTAAGGACAAGAAAAAGAAACCTAAACCAAAAACTGGGAAGAAAAAGAAGAGACAGAAAGCACTAGATAGTGAGCCCAAGGGGACTATAATCGGTAGACTGAAGTAAGGACATATTTATCATAAATCACCGAAATATTTACTCTATCAATAGGCAATAGTTACTAAACAAGCAGATAATAATCATATCGATCTAACACCTCAAGAGCTTATAAAATAATGACCAAGAAATAGAGAAAGCAAAGGATGTCAATTCAATAAACTTTTAACAAAGATGATGAAGGATCTGAAGACAGCTGTGAGTTTATTTATGAAGGTGAAGAGTCAGAAGTAGAATCAGAGCACAAACCATCCTGCGTCAAAAGCTCGGTAATGCGATTTGTATAAGGTGTAGGAGGAGGATAAGAAAGAAGCATCTCCTAGAACTCCTCCGAAGGAGAAAGTCAAAAAACCTCCTCCTAGTGATGAAGAGGAGGATGCAATTTTGAGAACAATGAGAAGAAATAGCACACCAAGGTACTTGAAACTACTTTTAAAATTCTTTAAATTATCAATAGAAAGAAGCACCCACCAATGCCTACTGTTGAATCTTGCAAAGAATCTTGTAATGAATCCTTGGACACAGAAGAAAGAAAAATGCAAGAAGAACTTCTTAAGCTAGAACAAGAAATAGAAAATATAGAAAGAAATTAAAGAAATTACATATCAAGTTGACAGGACAAATGAGATTGTTTTGGAAAAAGATTACAAAGAACATCCTAAACAAGAAACAAAAGATAAGCAGAAAGTGCAAGAAAAGAGTAATTCTTAACATCAATTTTTAAAGACCAAAGTTATCATCCTAATCAGTCTTTACATTCCCATGCAGAAGAAGGAATTCATAATGAAGATAATAAGACACATGATGTTTCTGAGAAAAAGGGTATCCTCTCTCGATAATTTTAGATGAATTCACAAATGACAAAGATAAGCCAATAATAGAAGAAGAGGATGAGAATAACGACAGCCCATTTGTAAATTTAAAACAAAGGTTGCTTTCACCGGAAAATGAGCTGCCGATAAAAAGCACTGAGGAAGAAAACAAAAGAACACCAAATTGCTCTAATAAATCAAAAGAGAAGATTCCAGCTCAGAAAATGAAATGTACAGAAAACAATAAAAAGAAAGAAGAGCCTAAAAAATTTTCTCCCAAACAAGAGGAGTTTATCGAACCTCCTCCTAAACAAAAAGAAGAGACTCCTAAATTAGAAATTGATGAGTTATTAAACGACTTCCAAGAAAATAATAATAACAAAATAAAACAAAAATCTCACCTAGACTCAAAAGCATCTCCTAAAATCTCAAAAAGCATTCAATCAGTCCAGAAAAGCCTCAAAAACGCACTTTCAGAATCTCAAATTCCTCAACCTACTCCAAAGACCCTCAAACCCTCTTCCCCAAAACCCGACCCCTCCCAAGCTCCTTCCCAGCCCCCTCTAGATGCTTCTATCCCCTCTAAACTATCTCCTCACCTCCAAAACCCCATTTCTTCCCCTACTAAAACCCCTCCTAGCTCCACCTCTATTCCCATCCCAGCAAAAATCCAGCCTCCAATTTCAACTCCCACAGGAGCCCCGAAGAAACCCAGAATAATCTCTAAAAACAAAGTTAAATTCAAAGGAAAGCCAAAAAAGACAAGTCCTAAGAAAGGAGCAAAGAAAGGCCCTAAGCGGAAGCGCAAAGGAGACCAGAAGACTTCAAGGAAGAACGAAATTACACTCCAGCAAAAGGATTTACAGGTACAGGATGAATTCGAAGCCCCTAAAGAGGTGTTGCATCCGCCTAGTAAGTTTTATAGTGTGACCTTTAGATATCAAAGCCAAGGCGATAAAGAATGCACTTAAGAAGTCTCTTAAAGAAGCGATCGAGCAATCTAAGAAACGTAATGAAGAGGCCAGGAAATTGTCGATAATTGATGAAGAAGAATCTAAGTTCAAGCAGTTGTACCAGGTGGACCTCGAGCCAAGGAAGAAGAATCCTAGTCATAAAAATAATCAGGAGGAAATAGGGGTTGAAAATATTGATGTGTCTATAATATCGACTGATAAGGCACCTTTATCTTTCCAACCCCCTTCCAACCAAGAAGATGTAGGATTTCATTTTTCTACAATTTTATAACTCAATAATATCCTTTCTGGCTGGGGTTTTGGGGTTTTGGGGTTTTGGGG